GATAAATCAGATTATCTCCTTCAGCTGGCTTACCCTGTGGCCCCTTCAGTGTTTGAGAAGATGCCAGGGATGGGCTGGGAACAGGAGGTTCTGGGTAGGGTAGGACCTCTCCCTTTTGGGAGCAACCAGGGTTGCATCAGCTGAACTCAGCTGTGAAAGTGCCGAGTGACCGTAACACAAAGAGGAGCCATGTTCTCTAAATGCCCGGATGTTGCTTCTGACTTTCCTCTGTGGTCTGTTACTGAACATGCAAAAAAAAGTTTCCATTTTCATTTAACTGGAGATAGGAGATACCTACAGAATCTCTTAGTACCCTCAGAATTATCTCTGCACTTCAAAGATCAGCAAACAACAACTTCTGGTTGTGGATGTAAAGAAGGAACATTTTTAACAATGCCGATCTCCTAAGCCATACCATATTTTTTGAAGACGCATTTTTAAAAGTACTCTACATGAGCTGCAGAATGTGCATGCGTTTCAAAATTTTAATCTTTTACTGAGGTAAGAAGTGTGAAGACTGGGGTTTTGGAAGATAGAGTGGGGATGTTGGGGAAATGGAGGAGAATCAAGCCCTTACAGCAATGCAACATGTGTCTGGTTTGAGGGGACAAAATACTTCGTTCTTTGAAAGGCCATCCTTTTCTTTAGCTAATCCAAATGAGAAAAAACACAGACCCCTCCAACTACGCACCTCTTTAAAAGGTGATAATATGGTAGGATTCTATGCTGGCCAATTTGTTACACTGTGCTGATTTAACCATTTTTCTCCATTTTTATGCCAGTGGCTATTTTCCATTAAGTTTGGAGGTTGAGGACCCCATTGCCTGATGTTACCGTGCTGCATTTAATTGGACTGTAAATGCTCTTCTGAGTGTTAGGCTTTGGTTATCCTGGAAGTTGAATGCTTGCTTCATTTGGTTTAACAGGGACTAATGTTTTATAACATATTTTAAAAATGAATTTAGTGTTTTATAGAAGAGCATTGATATCTGCAAATAATAATTAACAATGTCCACTGTGCCCTATAGACTGTAGAGCAGTTACTTTTGAAACTTCCGACTGATGAACTATTTTACGTCCAGGAAATAAGATTAAACTTCCATATGAAGATACAGAAATCAAATAAGTTAGCCATTTTAAGATACTACCAATGTAGGAAAATGTTTTTTTTTTTTTCCCATTATGGACTACAGCTTTATTCTAAGCTATATGGACTGAAACATTTTACATGGTAATATATATTTAAAAATTTTAAGAAAAAAATCACATCTGTTGCTGTTGGCTGCTGTTATTACTGTATAGTACTCTGATCTGTAAGATAATAAAAACAATATCATAATTAAAATGAAGAGGGCATACAGAGGCCCGATGTTTGCTGAACCAAAGTATATCTCGACCAGGAGTTTTATTCTGATACCTTACAGAGCAGTTTTTCCACAAAAAACCTGTGTACCAAATCAATTGGAAAGAATGATCTATAAAGCAAGGAATGAATTAACAAGGAAAAAGCAGCTAGGCAGAAATGACTTAGAAATACATGATCAACAATTCAGTGTTGCTTGAGAACACTTTAGGTGCTCACAAAACAAATTATCATAGTTTGAGAAATAAGGCATTAGTACTGCTCTGACTTTAACTGTATGGCATAGAAGGGCAGTGTTAGTGAATGGAAGTAGTGAAATCACGAGGTCCTGCAGAGTTGGATTTTTAACCTGCTTTTTAATATTTCTGTCAAAGATATGGAAAACATTCAAAACCATTACTGATAAAAAATTACAGGTAACAAACAGCTGGAGAAATACATAAAATAGACAGTCACTGATAAAGAGAAGATAGGTTCATTAACTGAGCTGGATTCAGGCACACAGTATATTTTTCAGCATATCCAAACATAATTTTGTATCTTGAAATAATAAATGCACACTATATTTCCATCTTTATTCCAGGAAGCAATTATCCTTTAAGGACAAACCCCTCTTTCCCCAGAACAGGGAATCGCAGTCATCAGTTGAAGCTGGACTCGTGTTGTTGTGCTTTGGCCAAAGGCCTCATACATCCAAGAGCTGCAGTACCGAGGTTATATTATCTCCGTATTTGGCGTTGTTCTGAAAAAGGCTGGAATGCTGGTTCCAGATGGGTGTGCTTCGAGAAGGACATTGAAAACTGGAGATGATTCAGGGTAGGGTTGTAAGAATGATGAAGGAATTGGAAGTGTGCTGTATGGTGAAAGATTTAGAGCTCAGTCTGTTTAGTTTAGCAAAAGCATGGTTAAGAGATCATTTGATCACAATCTTAGCATATTCATGTGGGGAGCAGAAATGTGATAATAGATAGCTTTTCCAGCTAGCAAACAGAAGTAAAATAAGAACCAACAGCTTGGAAGTTGAAGTCAGCCAAATTAGTTTGGAAATAAGGTGCAAAATTTTAACAGGGAAGGCAGTTAAACACTGGAACAACTTACCAATAGCTGTGATGCATTTGCAAACACTGGAAATACCATAATTAAGATTGCATGTCTTTCTGAAAGACTCACTGTAGTTTAGGAACAAGTGTTAATGTGAAGCAGAAATTGATGCAAAGGAGCCTGTAATACTGAAGAATCACAATAAATCCTTAAACTCCAGGACTGTATTTGCAATGCAGTATAGTGGTTAATTTCTGCTCATTTTGATTCTGGTTTAACCGTTAGGAGAATTTTTAAGGTATTTCTACATTGCACAATGTGGTGCGGGTATCCATGCTGGCCCTGAACAAGTTAGGATGGATACTAAAAGCACCAAAGCTATGCTAGCATGGTTTCCCACCAGGAGTGATATATGGTGCTTTTTAGCAGGGCTGATATGCTTGTACGCAACGCTTGGTGTTCACAGCTGCTTGCTCGCTCTTAACAAGCTCTTATAGGCAAGGATTCCTTGAAGCCCTTGGGAATCACATGTAAAAATAAGGATTTCTCATATGGGAGAAGCAGGTTTCCAAAATGAGATTTTTTTTTTTCCCTTTTTTTCCTTTATTGTTTACTTGAGTTCAATTTGAGAACAGATAAATTCATGCAAGAAAAGTTATCAGTTACTTACAGCAAGAAACCATATTGGACTCAAAAAACCTGTGATGTGAAAATAGTTGGAGGCTGAGAAATAGTGAAGGAACACATTGAAGGCCCTATTCTTACTCCTTCCTAGATATCAAATTATTTCCATTGTGGAGAGAGGATACTGGACTGCTGGGTTACTGGTCTGATCCCATGTGGATTTTCTTATACGTGTTCTAACAGTGTCTGTTTCATACAGTAAAATTCTGAGAAACCAAACCTGTAACTAATGATAGCTTGTAATGTTTCAACGTGTGAACCTCTCAGAACAAATGCATGCAGAAGAATCTTTGTTAAAATAAAACTAAGAGGATTCTCGAAAAAAAAACCAAACCAAATTGATTAATTTTATCAGTTTTACCATAACAACTTAAAACTGATTGTATCAGTTTTATCATATCAACTTAGAACTGGAGCGTACATTTTGTTCATTGAACTGTCATTTTGATGTATTGGACAGATTTGTAGTGCTGTTAATGCCTCTGCTCTCTAGATACGAGTTTCCAGTGTTGGCAAAAGAAATTAAAGAAATCAGTCTACGTAACTGTGGATTACTGTCCAACTGTTGAAATGCCTTTTCCTGTCTTGTTTAGCTCTGAACATTGTCAAACCACTTCATAGTACAGTATATGGATCATCTTGTTTATAGGCCTGTGACTTGCCAGTACATCTGTGGATGAGCTACTTAGAGCCATTGATTAAGTCATTGCTAGAAAAGCAAAACAATTAGAAAAGTCCTTGAATCAGAAGGAAAACTGTATAATTAAGGTATTGCCTTTATGTATTCTATTATGTAGACAAGACGGAGCTGGCCAGCTGGAGAATGTGCTGGTGTAGACATTAATTGAAGATCACAGCCTTGAAGCCTGACCTGATAGCTAGCACTTTCTTGGGCTTTCCCCTTGATGACTAATGGTACATCAGCAGTACGCAATGTACTTATCTTAAAAATCAGACCGTAACTGTTCTTGAATTAACATACACATTATTGTGTTTGGTTTTTTTTTCCTGATGTGCGTCTCTGGAAGTTCATGAAACTTTTGTATGCACCATATGAAGTTATAAAATGTATATTATGAAAAGTGAGACTTTGCTGCCATATTTCTGACCAAAGGTATCTGATACTGTTTGATTCTAGGCAATTTAGCATCTAGCTGCAATAAACTTCGAGATATTTGGGTGTGGTGAAGCATTATACTCCCATCAGATTAAAAATATTTTGCTTTCATTATTATATTTCACAATGAATCCAGTTTTGTTTGATTAAAAGATGCTTAGATCACCTTCTGTATATATTGTGCTATCTAATTATTTATGAAGCAGATCACATAAAAACTGCACAAATATGGAGACTTAAAATTAGAAAATGTTCCTTCTAATTGCTGTGTAAAACTTAAATAAGCAGCATTAACCCACATGATTTGTTTTCTTGCTAAAATTTTTATTTAAGTTTTACTTTCTGAATAGCTATGATTTGTGACTTTACCTAGGATCTGGCTGTGCAGAGGTAGGTATCAGTGAAAGATTTCTTCACATGTGTATCTTTTAGTATTTTCAGGATCCAGGTTTTTACTGACTTGTTAAAATCCTTATTCTCCTTCAGAAATCTTACAGTTTGCATTGATAGGGTAAATTCATATTCAGTGGAATAAATTTTTGTTCTTGATATTTGCTTAAAATGGAGTGGAAGATGCGAACACTTTTATACTAAATATAAAGCCATCTCATTAATTACTCAGCTTAGGCTTTTAGGATGATTTATCTTTCAGTGAAAATGCAAGAGGGGAAAAGTAACTATATTCTAACATTGCTAATGATGTCACATACTTCATATATTTCACAAGTATTACAGGTAAGTAATCAAATTACAGCTCTTGTGATTTCATTTTTGGGGTTTGTTTTTCCTTTTCAGTCAGTGGCGAAGACTGGGCGATTGCTGATCAGCCACGAGGCTCCCTTGACAGGAGGATTTGCGTCTGAAATCAGTTCCACAGTTCAGGTACACAGGTTATTTGTATTTAAGTGTCCTGCACGGCAGAATATGTTTACCTGTAGAAAACATATTTATTACTGCATTAAAAGTTGAGTTTTTCATATATATATATTTTTTAAGTTATTCTCTTTTACAATTGTATGAAATTTCAGTTTTGTGGATGCTTGTGTTACTTTATCTGAACAGCTGAGAAGCCGTGTACCTACCAGGCACTGTGCGTAGCATCTGTTAAGCTAGAAAATTTAACTTTTGCTGAAGAGTGGGGAGGATGTGCTGTCAGATGCAAAGGAAAAATTGTTATGTATAATCTGTTTTTCTGTATTTTTTTAACTTTATCATATTTGTATCCCCAAAGCATCTTAAAAATAAATTCTAGGACTGTTGAAATCAGACACAGAAAAAGCACCTAGGTCCAATACGGTATAATGTGGTACTAGATGTAAAGTTCAGAGACTGCATTAGGAAAGCAGTCTGTGAAAGTAGTTTATGTATAGTTGTGGTGATGCTCACACATGTAGAGTTTGTGTGCACAGAACAGCTTTGAAAGGTTGAGAAGTAGATCAGTATCAGTTGTCTGGAGCACAAGGCTTTTAACTTTTTTGGAAGTCTTTTTGGGCTTTCTGACATGTCTTATATCTGTACTTGCATACAGACTTTCCCCTTAACGTGATTTCTTTCCTATGCACATCAGTGATACTGACTTATAGGAACATCTAAACTAATTGCGTCCATCATTGTCTGATCACTATTTTCCCATTATTCTATTCTTAGAGTAGTTAAATTATAGGACTAGAGAGAAATGGTGTTCTAAAATTCACAAAATATAAGCCATACAGGCAGTAGTTAAAGCTTGGGAATTAGCCTTTTTGTAGGAAGGAATAGAGTTAATTGTTCTGGGAGTGTAGTTTTGAATTAAATATGCATAAAGAGTCGGAAAACTATGTTTCTTGATCTTTGTGATACAATTTCTTTTAAAGAGTAATTGTATTATTTTTAATATAATTAAATAAAGGTCATTCATTTTTTTTCTACCAAAATTTTGTCTCTGTTAAGAACAAAATATTTATCATCCTCATAAGTAATTATTATTTGACCTCCCTTCTTTTACAGGTAGCCTCTTTGATTAAAATAGGTCTAGTAAAGTCATAAGGTACTCCAACTGTGAGTGTTGAAAGTGATGACTTTTCTCAAATTCCTACAAAAATGTGAAATAAGCTTAACCAAAAGAGCCTGTCTTTTTTTAGTATCTTGTGTTATTATTAACACTTGAGAACTATTCTAAGCCACACAGCAATCTCATAATTTATTGGCATAACAAAGGAAAGCATATGTGTTGGAGAAAAAAGTGATGAGTTGAAAAGAAAAAAGCTTATCAGTAATTATTATTGGAAGAGCATGGGGTGCTCAATATATTGCTGAAACTACAAAATGAGTTTTTTAATCTCCTCAGAGCTCCACTAAGAAGGGTACTTAGATGATTGATCTATCTTGGGGTTGTTTTTCACATCAGAGATGTGTCTTGACAAATATTACTTATTTAGAAAACAAAGTTTACAATGCTTTAGTAAAGCGCTATTTATTTCTGTCAGTTTTGAAAGCAAATATTTGTTTCATGATAGTAGCTCATAATTTTATATTCATATTTTTAAGGAAACTAGGATTTGTATCTTGAGAAATATTAGTTAATTTATCACACATGCTACCTCAGAATAAATTGGAATATAACTCTTTGGCATTTAATTTATCTGTGGCGAGTTTCTTTCCTATAAATTGGTTGACTTGAATCTGTGTTACAACCATATTGTCATTTCTCTTTATATCTATTCTTGAATATTTTATAATCTGTACCAAAATTTTTATACCAGTTATTTTTAAGAATATTCATACTGCAGAAGAGATTAGAATAATATTTACAAAGCCTTACAACTTTTTAAAGAACAGTATTGCTTTAGGCATAATGAAGACGTTGCTTTTTTTATTCAGTTAAAACACTTGATCTCTAAATGATCAAGTTAAGTCCATGTGTCTAATATCACTGTGCTGTAAAAATAAAAACGAAAAGTGAAATTCTCTTTTGCTGGATAAAATGCATACTGAGAATGCCAAAAATTGGGAGTTGCAGTTGGCTTTAGTTTCCTCTTACACATGGAAGTAATAAGACTTCAATAAAGTGTGTCCAGTTGGATTAGTTGGTTAGTTTCCATATTGTTATTCCATCCTTGCTGTGAGGTCTCTCGTCGTAGAAATAAGGTGAATAAAAGTACACAGGTTATTTTAAAAGTTAACTGTCACAAACACTTCATGGTGATGTACACGTCAAGAAGAGTACAAATGGATATGATGGCTTTCACTCCTGAACTACAGGACCATATTGAACAGGTTTCTTTTTGCATATGGGAGATTAAAAGCAGTGTTTGGAGAGCATATTAAATAAGATTTGTTCTGTGTCAAATACAGAATATTTTAAAGGGGCACGTTATTGCGTTAAGTAGTCATTTACTCCTTCTCAAACACATAAAACTAAGCACAGGATGAAGTGGTGTCGTTAAAACTCTACGTGATAGGACTGCCCTTCGTAATGATGTTTCGTGTATGATCACAGTGGGTATTCTGAAGCGAGCAACAGATGATAGGATAAATTCAGTACGGGTACAGTTAACACTTACATTGATTATATTCTGTATAAAAGCTTACAAAACTGTCATGTTCGGCAGAGAGGGCACTAAACTTTTGCTTAAGGTGAACGGTTGGAGCACAGTTTGAGAAGCTCTAATCCGTGGCTGTCTTTCAGTGGTGCCCCTGCGGTAAACAGCTACCTTACAGAGCGGCAGCTTGCAACCCCACTGCCTCCTTATCAGTCTTGTTGTATCAACAAAATGAAGATGATGGTGTGACACAATTTCAGAAAGAAGTGCAAGACTTAGTAGGGGACCATGAAACAATAGGTTCTACAAGGGAAAATGAGCTCAGTTGTGTGAAGAACTAATCCTTGATTTTAGAAGTCTTTCAAGCTTGGAATGCTTGATAACCCTTCTATCGAATCTCTTTATTTGTAGCTGCTACTGTGACACCAGCATTGCGGTTTAAATTGCAATGTGTTGCTTTTTTCTTGCAAATGAAGGGTTTATTATTCTAGGTTGCTTTTACTAGGATGAGGTTTTGAGCGTAGCTATATTGATCTCTTTGTAGAAAGATGAGGTCCTTCTGAATGGAGCACTCCTATTGAGCTTGCAGTGTAAAGAGGGTAAGGAATCCAAACACGAAGCTGTAATCCTGCAGTAACCAACCATCGTCATTTGAAAGACTGCTGTAGATAATAAAGGTTTTGGTTTCAACAACAAGTAGTTATTGAAAGGCTCACCTAGAACTAATTCAAAGGTGATCTTTTTTCTTTAAGAAGTCATTACTGTCACTTTCTCATATTATTTCAGAATTACTTATCTTTTACTCTGGGATGTAATATATTAGAAAGGTAAACTTACACTGAAGGTCTTCTGAATCTTATTGTGGTGTAAGCAACATAGCAGTTTTGAAGAGGATTCTCAGATTCTGTTTTAGGAAGGACTTAAATGAAATTTTTTTTTTTTTCCTCTGAAAGTAGGTGTCCTTTTGATATGACATCTCAAACACTTATATTTTGTTGTATGTAATATATTAGAAGAGAGTTTTTGAAATTTGGGTATGGCTGAAAATTTCATGGCAATCTGAAGAATGCTGTCTGGTATTTCATTAAAAACATTTTGAAGTATACAATTTTGAGAGAAATTTCATGTAAGTGTAAAACATAGCTTTTGTTTTTAAAACTGAATTTTTAATAGTCACTAATATAATATGCAGTTCTTGCCATTTGCTGGTTTTATGCAGCTTCTGTGTATTGCAGAATGTGCACATATTTTGAACATTAGAGGCTATTCTGCTTAATTTCTGGCACATTTGGGTCCAATAAATAGCAACTGCTTGACTGCAAGACTTTGGCAGCACTGAATTGGTGTGGTACAATATATAATGTTCGTTCTTGTTATTCAAGTCACCTTTCTTGTCCTTCTTCATCCAAACTCTTACAAAACCTATACTACTGTTCTGAGAAATGAAGGCAATTTGGTGGAGAATACACTTAGAAATTGGAAATTGAGGAGAACAGAATTAAGATTGCTGGCAAAATTTATAGATTGTCGTTGAAGATATGTGCATGTTGGGAAAGGATTAGGATGTGTGTACTGACTAGTGGCTTGATTTTTCATTTCCTGGTTTTTAGGTCTTGTACCTCAAATGTATTGTACCATTCCTGCTTTCTGTGGGACTAGGTGTGGGAAGGTTGTAATATGGTTACAGTAATATGGTGGTTAGTGTTTTCATGTGACTGAAGAAGGGTGTTATCTGGCGTGGTAAAAGATCATTGCTGTCTGTAAAACAAGTTGACACAGTGTTTTTTGTAGAGGGTTGCACAAATGTAAAAAGGAACATATTTTCTTCATTCCTGCAAGAACAGAGCAATTCTGGTTTAATTGTGGTTTTCTGTCTTAGTAGCACATTTTCTTTTCTTATTGCCTGGTAACGACTTTGTCACTGGGCATCTGGCTATGCCTTGTGAAGGTCTGGGGAACAGGGGATGTTGGGTCAGCTACCAAAAAAATGTACAGGTGAACAGAGATCAGTCCTCAGGAATCCTTCCAGAGGACTCAGTGTGTTTCTCAGTTGCACAGGAGTTTCAGTCTTACAAAAGATTTGACATTAATCAGGGGATAGGTCCCAGCAAATTCAGTGAAATAATCTGTTTCTGAGGATTGAGTTACGTGATCTTATTTTTTCAGTTCTTCAGTTCTGTATCTAAAAATTGGATATAATAACCTTTGTCTATTTGGACTGGTGGTGCTTTAGATTTCCTCCTGCTGCTACAAAATAAGGCCTAATCTCCAGTAAGTGGTGTAATTTCCTGCTAGTGTGTGACATTAGGAGAAGCTATTAGACGATCTATTTTTGTGAGAAGTATTTCAGGAAAAAAAAGT